AAACAATTGAGCCCAACATTTATCTTGTTAAGCAAGACGGTTGTTGACCACAAATTCACAACTGTCATTAATGCTTCTACTGCATCGAATGCACTTTTGTTCAGTATCGTATTTTTGCCTTCTCTGATGATTCATATTTTGAACCCATCCAATTTAAGTTCATAAGAACTTTATTAAGGATCTCCAAATATACATCTTCAGGTAGAACCTCGACATTCTTCTATAGCAGCTCAAATTATGATCTCATTTGACCTTTGTAGGTTTATCCAGCTTAGTTTTGGCAGGTAATATTACATCCACATAGAAAAAGATCACTGCCAATGATTTGTCCTGTTATGGCTTTGGCCTCTTTTCTGACCCATTCCAAAATAATTCAGAATAGATAAGATCATGCAAGAAGTTAAACACAGAATCCTTGATTTGGCTAAAACAAAATGACAGGTCTCAAATTTCATCCTATGGTCCTAAGGACCTCATCCATTAGTCTCCAGTTATCCCATTCCCCAGTTAGAAAAGCTGCTGTTAAAATAGACAAGCATTCATATTTTCAAGGTTCAATGCCTCACCCCCAAAGCTGTCAGAAGGGTGATTTAATTTAATCTCTTATGCAAAATGTTTTTGCAGCTATTCCATTTTCACCGTTGGATCAACAGGCTTTCTTTATTGTCCTGTCTTCTGTGCTTGGCCTGCTGAATGCATAATCTCACTTTTTACCCACCATGCAGATTGAAATTAAAGTTCTACTTTTTTTTATTTTCTGGCTTCTCCACTTGAGATTTTCAGGAATGTAGTGGATTTTTGGTCAATTGCAATTGCATTTAGAAGACTGGTTTTGATTATTAAGGGGATAGAATATAGTAACTGTGAGAGGGATCTTGGAGTCCTAGTGGACAACCATTTAAATATGAGCCAGCAGTGTGCAGCAGCTGTCAAAAAAGCCAATACAGTTCTAGGCTACATAAACAGAGGGATAGAATCACGATCACGTGAAGTGTTAATACCACTTTATAATGCCTTGGTAAGGCCACACTTGGAATACTGCATTCAGTTTTGGTCGCCACGATGTAGAAAAGATGTGGAGACTCTAGAAAGAGTGCAGTGAAGAGCAACAAAGATGATTAGGGGACTAGAGACTAAAACATACAAAGAACAGTTCCAGGAACGGAGTATGTCTAGTTTAATGAAAAGAAGGACTAGGGAAGACATGATAGCAGTGTTCCAATATCTCAGAGGTTGCCACAAAGAAGAGGGAGTCAAACTATTCTCCAAGGCACCTGAGGGTAGGACAAAAAGCAATGGGTGGAAACTAATCAAGGAGAGAAACAACTTAGAACTGAAGAAAAATTTCCTGACACTTAGAACAATTAATCAGTGGAACAGCTTGCCTCCAGAAGTTGTGAATGCTCCAACACTGGAAGTCTTTAAGAAGATGTTGGATAGCCATTTGTCTGAAACGTTATAGGGTTTCCTGCCTAGGCAGGGGGTTGGACTAGAAGACCTCCAAGGTCCCTTCCAACTCTGCTATTGTATTGCATTGTATTGATTAATACTTTTTCCTCAAGTTACTACAGAACTGAAAGGTATCTTTATACCTATCCTCAGACTTATATCCATTGCAGTGACTCACAATCACAAGTGAGCTTCACAGTCAACTTCCAACAAGCAAAATCAATGGAGAAATTGGCAGTAAAATTGCAAGCTGTGGTCATGTGATGTCTCACTTAGCAACCCATGACATTCACTTAACAACTACAGTGGAAATTACATTGTAGTTCCTGAATGTTTCACTTAACTATTGTGTCATTTAGCAATGGAGTCACCAGTCCCAATTGTGGTTGTTAAATGAGGACTGCATTTACTGTTTTTTATTTCTGCCTATAAAGAACATGCTAAGCAAGCAATTTATCCATGCCTCAAATCCCCTCCTCCCTTTCTATAAGTAAGCCACAGAGGCAACCAGTTTAAGGATCATAGCCCTTAGCATAAACACATTTACCTTTCTCTTTCTCTCATTATCTAAAACCTCAAACACTTTCTTCTTCCACCCCCTCTTCTCCCACACTGTGATTTTCAGTCTCACTGGGGGATACGCAGTTTCTTCTTTTTGCCACAGGCTCTTTCCCAGTCCCTGAGTTAAAGCACTGTCCCCATATCTTTTTCTCAGCACACAGCTACATTGGCCAGAATGTTAATTATGTTGTTAATCTCTATTCCAACTCTATTTGACAATGTTCTGACTCATAACTGAATAGTGTTCTGATTTAGTGTGTCTAGAGCTCATGAGAGGAATGGATTCATGTCTTTGCTGTTCTCCATCTTTTTTAAAGATAGTGGGAAAATGTTTTACCCATCATTGACACTGCAGGAGTGCAAAAGGTCTGGCTGCATGACCCTATATCCTGTTTGATCATATTCCAAAACAAATAAAGTTTAAAAAAAAAACCAGAAAGGCAGCTGAGTGCTAAGCACTATTTCTCCATAAACATTTCCCTCCATTTCCACTCTAATGTTATTTCAGGATTATACTGGAATGGCAAGGGCTATCCAATTGATTGCTCTCACCAATTTCTGAGAATGGAAAAATCCTATAATATAGTACTAATGAAGGAGAGAACCAATCTAGAACTGCCTGAGAACAATTAATCAACAGAATGGCTTGCCTCCAGGAGTTGCGAGTGCTTTAACACTGGAGGTTTTTGAGAAGAGTTTGAACAACCATTTTTCTGAAATAGTATAGAGTTTCATGCTTGAGCAGGGGGTTGGATTAAATACCTCCAAGGTCCCTTCCAGCTCTGTTATTCTGTGATTCTATACACCCACTCATCCTTTAGTGATTGACTTCTGTCATAAGAATCAAGTTGTTAAGACAGATGACTGATAACGAGAAAGAAACTGCTAAGTTCTCTGCTTGCTTCTGTCTGATCTGTCTAATTTGGATAAAGTTCTCATAACACTTAGCTGGTATTATTCTCACTGCATGGCATGTTGCTGTCATTGTATGAAACCTGGTCATAAATGTGTGTGTTAGTAAGAAAATGAATTACCATTGTATTTTGAATGCTCACTAACTTTATAATTTCTAAATCAGGTGTGGACATGCAAACCAGCATGCCCTTGTGGTAGGAAACCATTTGGACAAAGTTTCCAAAGAAAGGCAAAGAGAATCCCTGCATACTGTAAAAACATAATATTATATTGGTCTTGCACAAATTTGCAGCACAGCACTGTCCTGTTTGATTCTTTCAAGAGACAAGAGATCTTGTCTCTTGAAAGACACAAGATCAACAAGGACTGAACAGGAATATCCACATCAGCCTGAATTGACCAATAAATGCTTTGCTGATCTCTGAATTGATCAATAAATGCTGCCTTACTGGTCACCTTCAGCCTAATGACAAATAGATGGCCTAACATAATGATGCCACAGATTTTTTTTGTACCTTGTGGCTTTTGTTGCCTATTGTTTTGAAAACTAGAGTTCAAGTCCATTTCCAGCTATAGATGCTTGCAAGGTGACTTTAAGCCAGTCACTTCCTCTCAAAGCAACCTAATTCACATGGTTGTTGTGGAGAGAAATGGGTGGGATATAAAATTAGTAACTGAATAAATAACTTTTGATTTTTTTTCTGGGGAATTGCTGCCTCCCAAAGCACCCCTTTTGTTTATAATGTATAAATTAATCACAGAGACTGTGAAGGCACCATACACAAATGCCCCACCAATTTCCAAGATTAAATCAACCAACCTTACCCCTAGGATAGCTGCAGTTGCTCTGTCCAGTGAGCCAACCCTTGGAGATGCTGTACTAAGACCCAGGACCTAAAATTGGGGCTTGTTATAGTTTAGGGCATCTGTATCCAACCTTGGCAGCTTTAAGATTCGTGGACTTCAGCTCCCAGAATTGGCCAACCAGTCACCCCCCACTCTTTGGTTTAAGGTCTTCAGAGAACTTTAATTCACCTGCTTGTTTTGAAATGTATTGTTTACAAAGGGGAACTTATACCTTCTAAGAAATATTTTTGTCATTCTGTTTTTTAAAAGTTTTATTTGTTTTATTTATATTCCATTTCCTCCGAACAGTTTGACATCTGGGTTTTAAACTATCAAAATCCACATATTTGTTATGATATTCATCACAAAATTATTATTAATAATAATATAAACTATTAATTATATATCAATACAATTACAATAGTACATAACATCTTCATCATCAAATTCTCTATCCATTGGTAAAATATTTCCCATGTCAAGAAATATTCAGTTTCTTTATCCTTCATAATGAGCGTTAATCTATCCATTTCTGCACATTCTAATATTTTCTTAATTACCCTCTCCTCTGACGGTATTTCATCATTTTTCCATTGTTGCACAAATACAATTCTACTTATACCTTCTAAGAAATATTTTTGTCATTCTTCTTGAAATCATTTTGTGGCAAGAGCATCTAAAATTGTTTTTTTTAAATGCAAGAGAAGTGGAGGACTCAGAAGGGACATCCCAGAGTGGATTAGTTTTGTCCTGTGTGTTTTATTAAGAAAAAAAAAGAGATCACGATGGGGACAATGTACTTATCTCTCTTGGTCCCCTTCCTTTCTATATGTCTTCAGGGTTTTTTTCTAAATTAAAAAAAGCTCCCCAAATGCAAGGTGTACATGAATTTAAAAGGAAGTACATCCCATTGCCATATATCATAAAGGCTGTTTCTCTAATAGACGTCACCACAAAAATGTAACTTGCAACAATCTTTTCAGCTTTCAAGGGAGTAAATTCTTCTTATCAGTTACACCAGAATACTTTCTCTAGTAGAGCAGGAAACATCTGAGGGTATTTAAACCCACCTTCCAAGTTCTGCTTCAGTATTGACTGTACAGGTAGAGAAACCATGGTTAAATGTTTGGCATTGAAGGCAATATATCATACTTTACATGCTTGCGTATTGTCAACAAGAATGAAAAGGCGGTCCTTATATACAGGTCCTTTTCTTCTATACTCAGTCAGAGCTTCTCTTCTCTGACAAACTGCCACTCACACTTCCTCTTTGCGATCTGCTTGTGAAAGACCATGGACAGGGGTGAGTATGAAGATTACCTTTTCTGAGAGTTCAACTCCTGCATATGTGCGGAGTGAAATCCTCTCAAATTAGAGTAACTGCTTCTTTCTGCTCACATAAATCAGACAAGGGCTCATATTGCTTCTCTTAGCTTCCTTAATATTATGAGGAGAACTGACGGTTTCAAATGATAAATCAGAGGAACAAATTTCCATCTATCTAATGTTTACATATTATAATCAAATATTCTTCTCTTTTAAAGATATGGGATGACTTGATTCACTAATGATTGAAATATTTTATACATATACATATATATTTCATGTTATTTCATTATCAATTAGAAATAAAATGAAAATTGCAAAACAGATTTTTTAAAAATTTACCAATCTACATTATGACTGCACTGGTATTTATATATCAAGATATTTAGTATATTAGCTTTTATGGTTCAATTTTAATACCTTCATATATTACCTTATTACATTTTAATGCACCTAATATTTTATTGCTTTTAACATATATATTATATGTCTTATCCTGGAGAGGAGTATGCAGCTGGTAGGCTGGTTGGTGTCCTGAAAGCTTACACACTTTTTAATTAGTTTTTAACATTGAATTTTAATCATTCTCGCTTTTCTTAAAATTTTATACACTGTTTATATGCTTTAATATTTTATTTGTACACCACCGAGTTCCTCTGTGAGTAAGATGAGTAGTTCCAAAATTTGACAAATAAATAAAAAATAAAATATATGGATGAGAAGTGTTTAATTCATTTTACATTTTAACTTGACTATACTTACTGCTGTTGCTAGTTGAAAATATTGATTTGTAGTTATCTTATAATTTCCAGGTTATTAATTTATAATTGTATCATTCATTTGTATAACCTTTGGGCATAACTTGCTTCTTATGTTACATTGCTAATATTGCTATTGATATAGTTGGTTATTTAAAAGTGGTATATGGCTGATCATTTTATGCAGCATAACTCTGAGCAGCTCACAAAAATACAAAACAGACAAGATAATAAAGCCATCCAACCAATGTTCCATAGCATTCTTATTCCAAATATAAATCTACTGGGCTCAATTCCCATTTTAGCCCAATGCTTGAGGAAAGAGCCAGGTTTTAACCTTGATCCTTTCTTAACCTTCGACTAGTAAAAATCAAAATAAATGTATTAAATTGAAAAATAACAAATTCAGACAAGTTGATTTAGGAAAATAGTTCCAGAGCTGAAATATGCCTACAAAGCCAATTTAGATATTTTTCCATTTCCATTTTTCTTTCGGTTTTTGAACCACTTCAGTTGTTGATTTGGACAAATAAAGCTGCTTTTGTGAACCTAAAGTAGATAACAGTCAAGTCCAGCACCTTAACCAATTTTGACTTTTCAGAAGAAGATTTGGAAGCAGGAGTCATGCAGGAGGGAGATAATTGCCCTTATGGGTCTATAAGCCAGTAATGTACTTGGTACGGATAATGAGTCCCTTATCCCCCACTTTTCAATCCCTGTCAAAAGAACAATCTGGTGAATCAATTTGATAGTCAACATCTCAGAATCAATTATGTAAGAAAGTACAAATCTCCAACCACATCCAAATGATTGCTATTATTTTGGACATGACTCATCATGGACTTTCCTAGATTGCTCAGCAAGTAATGCAATTATGGTTCTCTTTCTTTCTCACAAGAGGGCTTCTAACGCATCTGTTGTATTCTCTTCTCCTCTAGATCAACAGCTGAAAGCTGCATTACTTTGGAAGCTCCCTCTCCTTTTCCAGGTACAATATAAAACGTATGAAAACACTGTGCATCTTCTAACTCCAGACATTCAGTTTCTCACTGCTGTTGCTATTGGGAGAAAAGCAGATCTAAACCTACCCACCCCCACCTCTCTTCAACTCTCTATGTACCTTGCCCATTCTTTTCTTTGTGTGCCATGCAGTGGTGGGTTATGACTGGTACGCCCCGGTATGGGCATTCTGGTGCCTGCCGGGAGCACCAGGTACCATTCTGGTATGGTGCTCTGGAGGGCCCACCCGCCTGCGCTCTTTACCAGTATTTGAGGTTTTGGGGGCTTCTGTGCACATGCACAGAGCTTACGGCGCCTGCGCGAGCAGCTGGAGTGTTGCTGGCAGTAAGTATTCATGTGGACGCCCGACCCATTACACCGTACCTATTGCAATGGGATCCAGAAACCACCACTGGTGCCATGTAATAAATGTTATAAATGTGACAATGGGGGATAGATTAGGGGGTATAAATGAGAGATCCTAAGTCATCATGACTTAATATGTCATATGAATTAAGTCACTACAATCTGTAAACCATGGCTTATGACTTAACAAGAAAGTTGAACCCAGCCACTGACCTATCAACAAACCACAGGTTATGTGGCTCACTGTTTTACAAGTTTTAAGCCCTTTAAACTTGTTTTTTGTGCTTTTTGTACACAAATAAGTTAATGAAAAGGAGGCTTTGCACAACCAACCGCTGTCAGAAGGGATGGTCCTCTTCTCTCAAGACTAGCTTTTGTACTTTCCAGAAGTGTCTTTTTCATCACTTAGAAAACAAAAGGTGAGATCAATAGGTTTTTGGCCTGACAAAACATGGAACTTCTTGTTTTGAAACCAGCCATTTGTTATTCCTCAAATGTGTTTCACTTGATCTTCTTCCCCTTGATCCCACCCTGCATGGTATAGAATAGAGATGGTGGGTTTGCAGTTGAATTAATGGGGTGAAAGTTGCTAAGAACAAATATAATTGCTAAATAACAAACCACATCTCCCAACCTCACGGGCTAATCTTGATGAAAACTATGTGGTTAGGTTGGTGGCAAAGTTTCACTTAAACACTCTGAATTAATTCTTCTTTCTCTCAGCACACTCACTTTCACACAGGTAGAGAGAGCCCAAGGATAGTTGCCTTGTCCTCTTTCCTTTTTAGGCAATGCTGCTTCGAATAAACCCACAGGATGTGGTTCATTCAATCCAGTACAGCAGTGTTCAGTAACTGCAAACCAAATGATTTGTACCCAAAGTTAAACCGAGACCAAAAAGTTAAACCACTTTTTTTCTCACTTTTTTTCTCAGGGTGAAATTTGTACCCCCATCATTAAGGGAGTACAAACATTTCAACCTAGAATTCAAAAGGTCTCAAGTGTATTGCTGTGAGTAGTAAAAACCTGTGCTTTGTACCAGTTTTGTACCATCAAGTTTTGTTCTATCAAGTCTGAGTTTTATGCATCCATTATACAAATTACATTGTCTTGTGCCTCTTGTAAGGACATTTCAAAGATTTCTACCACTGTCATGCACTAATCTGTACCCAACACATAGTTTCATACAAAACCTGGCTGGTGGTGATGAAGAAGACAGTTCAAACATAAGGTAGGGGCCTTCCCATTGCATCATTTTTTTTCATTCTCCACCTGTTCCTGCAGTGTCCTCTTTCTACATCTCTCTGTTTGCCCTTCCTAAGTCCCCCTCTTTTTTCCTTCATCTCCCCCAGTTTTGCTAAAATTTTAGCCCCTATTTCCAGTTTTCAGATACTTTATCCTGTTCCACACCCACTATTTCTTCTCTTCATTGCTCCATCCTTATTCCACCTTGAATCAAAAATTGGGTCAATTTAATTCTCATTTTCCTCAGCAGTTGATTAGAAATTGTCCATCATTCTGTGAACTTCTTCATAGAACTAACACTTCTACCTGTTTTAAACTCCCAGTGAAACTGAATCTTAGATGTCTTTCTGGGATTTTCCGGAATAACTGTCACAAGAAAGTTCAGTTTTCCTTGCTTTGGCCAACCCACATCTAATTTATTTTAGTGCTGCTACTCAAGCATAAATATGTTTCTCTAACCACAGCTAAAACATGTTCATGAAAACATTTCTAATGTTATGGTATATTGCTTTAGTCTTATATCTAGCTTATAAAGCTGTTAAAGCCATCTATGGATGTTCTATTCTCAAACTTTCTTTGTATTTTTTCCCCACACATTTTTTTCTTGTTGGATCAAATGTAATACATTACAACAATGATGTAACTGATGGTGCGGTTAACTATGAGATCTGCCCAGCTCCTATAAGTCACTTCAGGTTACTGTAAGGCTACTCTCTTTTTTCCCAGTCATTGAGCGACTTTGGCTAGGCTGCAGGGTAAATCTGGTACCTGATTCTCATAATGGTATCTAGCTTCACATTTCACAAAACACTTTTTGAAAGATTGGTAGCTTTTGAATAGAAACTTGATTGAAATCAGAAAAAGCTGTCATTTAAGTACTACAGATTGTGTCACCATTCAATGTAAAGCAAGTTCTAACTGCTTTTTGTCAAAAAGGGCTTTAACATGACAATGCTTTTTACTCTACTACAGTATTGGGATGGGGACATCATTTTACCCACTTATTTGGACTTCATGGCTATCCACACAATATTTTGAGGCACAAGGACAAAATTGAAATCACTACGAACATCGTTATTCCATTGCAGCACCAGATACTTTCCTTAATTTATCCTGCACTAAAAGAAGGCCAGCATCACTTCTTGTACTCATCACTGTGTGATAGAACAGGGCTCAAGGATAGAGGAATCAAGTGTTATATTGTCATATTTTTTTCCCATTTTAAGGACTAAATGGGATTATCTGGTGTTGCCCTTCATATGTATCAAAGCCATTGGGAGGAATATTAGAATTTTGTATAATATTAGTTGATATGTCAGAACCAAATCAAAAACAGTCCTTAACATGGTTACTATCTAATGCCATTTATAATTTCAATAAGCTGTTTCTGGAACATTTAGAAGAACATTTTTAAGCTACCTTGCTGGAGACCATAAATAATTTTTGTTTATAATTTAACATAAAATGTTCACTGGCAAAAGGCAATTCTGGCTTTACACACTGATCCTTTATGTGTTTACACGTGCTACATAAACAGAATTTGTTTTTTTAAGTATTCTAATTCCTCCCCAAAAAGTAACCTGTTTTGAGGCTTTATTTATTTATTTCAATCTATAGAGCAGCTCATATCACAGCTCTCAATTTCCACTCCACTGCTGAGCTGACTGCTATTCACTCATTCTTGATTCAGCCTGATTCAGAATACCAATATTAGCTCATTCCTTTGATGATACCAATCCTGCTTCTGTTCCAATCACAGCAGTCACTTGACTTCTTTTCAAAGTGACTGATCTAATAGATTTTACACCATGAGATTATCTTTAGACCATTGTTCCTCGACCTTGGCTGTTTGAAGATGTATGGATTTCAACTCCCATAGAATTCTCAAACCATCACATAGGCTGGGGCAATTCTAGGAGTTAAATTCCACACATCTTCAAGATAGCACAGTTGAGAAACTCTGCCTTAGACAACGCTTGATTAATGAGTGGAAGAGTACTTTAGTACAGGCATAACTAAAGATGACTTAAATCTTTCTCATTCCTCAGTTATGGATGAGAAATGGATAAAAAACATTTCAAGGTTTTATGAGAAAACCATAACAAAGGAAATGTTGTGGTGATCATTTAAAAAAGAGAATTTCAGGACTTGTTTGTACTGTGGTTAAATACAAACAGGGAAAGTTCCAAAGACTACAATCCAGTGCCTATTTACCTTGTAGAAATAATACCATTTGAATTCAGTAGGACTTTACTTCTGAAATAAACATATTTCATATGGCTACCATTCTCCAATCTTGAACAAATCTTTTTCTTGTTCTATTACATTCTTCCCCACTCTATATAGTAATAATGGAATAGAAACTTTTAACAGTTTCCACTAGAAGATTCTAAATTTTGGGAGTTGCTATCAACACACCAACGTGTAACAATTTGAGACAGCTGTTTCATAAAAGCTTTCACTGCAAATGAAATCTAAGTGCTCTGATAGACAAAATGTTAGTTGCACACCTTTTCTTCCCCTTGTACACTTTTTTTAAAAAAAAAATAGCCAGTATTCGTGTGGAGATAAATCAGGAGTTTGAGGGATTTATTTACTTGTTTGTTTTCAATTTCCTTAGCCATCCATCTCAATCCATCCGACTGACTCTACCTTCTCAAGCATCTTTTTTGCCATTTGGATATAATACTTGCATTGGAATGGAAACTTCTAAGATCCGCTCTGAGAAAATTTTTGCATATTAGTAAAATCTAGTTGAGCTAGAAAGTGAAAAGTAGATGAGAAGAGCTGAAAAAATAACCTGCAATGGAGTAAATGGGATTAAGAATAAAAGTGATGAAATATTTTGGAATGAAACTGAAGTGCAACAAAGCAGGAAGGAGTATTGTAGAGAGGTCTGTGGAGATGGTAATGATATGACAAAAAATGGAATTGATATCAAAATTGTACGTGTTAATGTCCTGGAAAAATAATGGAAAAAAGTAAAGATTGTTATGACAACATTTAAAAATATTATGGCCGCAGGTATAGACGTTCCAACTGGAAAAATGTTAAAATATGAATTTGATTTCATTATATAAATATTGTGCAATATTTTAGAATCTGTTTGAAGGCTACTTCCAAGCCAGACATTTGGAAGAATGCTGTTATTACTCACTTTTACAAAGAGATAAACAACCTTGCAAAAAGGAATATTTGTTGATTTAGGAAAAGCATTTGAATTATGTTTAGCGGAATATGAGGTTGAAAATAGGTTACTGAATGCAATGACCCATATATGATTATAATAAAAGTTTATATGAAGATAAATAGAATACTTAACTAATGATTAAACACTGAACAGAAAATATAAGGCTATGATTGAAGATATCCCCTTGAAATTTTAATGCTAGTGATGACAATTAAGATGTGATGATAGCTTGCATGCAGATAATACAACACCGCTGATTGCAACCCAAACGATTTACAGCAAACTTCAGATTGTGTCAAATTAATCACATAATATTTAATGTTAAAATTTGAATATTAATATTAACCCTATTATTTGGCAGGGAAAATGATTTCAAGGAATACATAAATGGTGAGAAAATACTATAAGTAGACATATGTGTATGTCATGATAAAAGGTTTTACTAAAGGTCAGAAAATGGATGGATAAATGTTAAAATTCTGCAAATAGTAGAAAAAATAATGAATTCTATGTGGTTTATAAGGTTTGTAAGAAAAATAATGATCTGTGTATAAAAAGGCTGTTTTACAATACAATACAATAGCAGAGTTGGAAGGGACCTTGGAGGTCCTCTAGTCCAACCCCCGCCTAGGCAGGAAACCCTATACCATTTCAGACAAATGGCTATCCAACATCTTCTTAAATACTTCCAGTGTTGGGGCATTCACAACTTCTGGAGGC